TGCAGCTTAAAATTCAGCTTGTCCAGGCTGTGAATGTACTCTGAGAGGGCCCTGCACTGCCCCTGAAAAATGGCATTAAGAAGGGCCTGTGCTTTACCTGCTGCCTTGCCAGCCCAAGGGGGGATCTGAAAGAGTGATAAAGCACTGGAATGGTCTGCCTGGGGAGGTGATGGAGTCACCATCCCTGGCTGTGTTTAAAGAAGGGTTGGATATGGGCATTGGTGCCGTGCTTTAGTTGAGGTGTTGGGGCATGGGTTGAACTCGGCGATCTGGAAGATCTCCTCCAAATCTGGCCATTTAGTGAATCAAGGAAAACATCATTTATATGATTTTAGAAGCTGTACAGCACCAGAGCAGTGCTCAGAAATCAGTAAGGCTTGAAGCTGAGACTTACACTGTGTTTTTTTTTCCCAGAAGAGCTTCCCACTAGTGAAAAAATAGCAGAAGCTCTGAAAATATGCATTTTGTTGGTGCATGTACTCCTAGAGATGTTGGTCCACAGAGKGGGACTGGCACTTGTGTGATGCATTCTCAGGAGGTTGAAGCATCCAGATTTTCTACTTTGCTCTGAACAAATACAAGATGCCATTTATTTTCTACAGTCCAGATTTTTGAGGTGTTGCTGAYATCCCTCTCCCCTGCAGGAAGCCAGCAGCTGCTCATCTCCAGCAGGAGGGATTGCTGGTCCCTTCGGCTGCAGGGTTACAGTTGGATTTTTTCTTCTCACGAAAGTCTTGGCCAAAAAAAAAAAAAATATGATGAATTCTTGCCTCAGCAGGTTTGGGAGCAGAGGCCCACAGGAGGAAGGAGAATGCATTGCACTGTAACAASGAGGGGGAAGCAGCCTCTGCTGTCAGACCTGCCAAAGGTTTCATTGAACTCTGCTTTAGCGGCCCTTTGGGATATTTTGGAGGCRCTTCCCTGTTGGTGAAGGAAACCATTACTGGCCAGCAACTCCCAATTAATTCATTCAGAAATTGCAAATGCTGTCAGCTSCCGCTGTGCTGCCTGGGGAGCTGGGGATGCTGAGGGAGAAGCCCAGGGAAGGACAGATGGTTCCACTTAGGCCAGGCAGGATTGAGTTAATGCCAAGCGGAAGAGGTGAGTGCCTGGAGCAGCCAGGAGCACCTTCCTGGCCTCGGATTAGTCACTGAAGGTGGATCAAAACCACATTCTTCTACCTCCAGTGAACAGGAAGGCTTTTTCTAGCCCTGCTGGAGGGGGACACAGCTGCTTTTATTCCGGTGCCCCATCACCTTCAGGYTGGGTTTATTGGMACAATTCTGCYMAGCTCAGAGCAGCAGCTYRCCACGAYGCTGGAGCTGGTTCTACTGCAGCAACCCATCCTCTACAGCAGAAAACCCAATTGCAGGGCTGTGCAGCTGYCAACAATTCCCTGTTCACTCCCTGGCCCAGGGCAGAATGCTGCTGCTGTCAGTCCTGCAAAGGGACAGGCTGATGTGGCCAGAGGGTGTTCAGCTGGATCCTCTCTCTCCCTGAGACACTCAGTGCCCTCGCTGCTGTGAGCAGAGCTCAAACCCACAGCTCCATCTGCCCAGGCTGCTCTCCWTCCCACAGCAGGGATCCAGAGACACAAAGCTTCCTCGAGTCTGCCAAAGCCAGGCAGATCTACCAATGACCAGGGCTTGCCCTTTGCTCATCACTCAGTCCTTTCCTTCCCTCTGCTGCTCTGTCACCCATCTGGACATCCATGGTGTGGCACCAGAGCCAAGCCACCAACCAGCCTGTAATTGAATAATTGTCATGTCTGCTGCCCTCTTAGCCACACACAGCAAAGCAAACACACCCAAAGAAGTGCTGGAGAGAAAGGGCCATTCAGCAGCACTGGCACAAGCCCCTGGAGGCCGTTGTCACTGAAGCCAGCTCCCAGTGCTGATGTTGCTCCTTCCTTCTGCTCCCCTTTTACAGTGAGTTGTGGAAATATGGGAGGAGGAGAAAAGGATCCTGTCAAGAGACAGGCATTTGAAAGAAAAAARACATGGGGCTCTTATTGGCAATAGATGAGGTGCAGGAATTGCACTGTTCAGGTGTGCAGGTTTTGGAGGTGTGGAGGCTTGTGAAGGTGTGGAGGTTTTGGAGGTTTTTGGAGGTGTCGAGATCAATGGAGATATGGAGGTTTTGGAAATGTGCAGGCTTGTGAAGGTGTGTAGATTTTGGAGGTGCAAAGGTTTATGGAGGTGTAAAGGTTTTGGAGGTGTAAAGGTTTATGGAGGCGTGCAGGTGTGCAGGTTTTTGGAGGTTTTTGGAGGTGTGCAGGTTTTTGGAGGTTTTTGGAGGTGTGGAGGGTTTTGGAGGTGCGCAGGTTTTTGGAAATGTGCCGTTTTAGGAGGTGTGCAGGTTTTGGAGGTGTAAAGGTTTTGGAGATTTGGAGGGTTTTGGAGGTATGCAGGTTTTGGAGGTGTGCAGGGTTTTGGAGCTGTGCAAGTTTTGGAGGTGTGCAGGTTTCTGGAGGTGTGGAGGGTTTTGGAGGTGTGCAGGTTTTGGAGGTGTGCAGGTTTTTGGAGGTGTGCAGGTTTTTGGAGGTGTGCAGGTTTTGGAGGTGTAAAGGTTTTTGGAGGTGTAAAGGTTTTTGGAGGTGTAAAGGTTTTTGGAGATTTTGGAGGTATGCAGGTTTTGGAGGTATGCAGGTTTTGGAGGTGTGCAGGTTTTGCAGGTGTGCAGGTTTTTGGAGGTTTTTGGAGGTTTTTGGAGGTTCTTGGAGCTGGGCAGGTTCACCCACACCCAGGCACAGTGCAGTGCAGAGCTGTGGGAGCTGGGTTTGATCACATCATGGCACAGTGGGAGCACTCCATTGCCATGGAAATTCATTCCCAGGACCTCACAGGCCTTCACCTTCCTGCAGCTCAGKGTCTGAGCTCTGCAGTGGGAGTAGCTCAGCATCCTTCTTTCATCAAAGCGAGGGCTCCCTCCTACCTGTGCACACAAAATGCTTTGCTCTTAGGGGACTTCAGTTCAGGCAGCACCTCAAAGATCTGGGCCAGAGGTAAATGGGGACTTTCTGTGATGATCAAGGCCACCAAAGGCTGGTTTGATAAACATTTGTGTCTCAAGGATGAGCCAGTATGAAGCTGAAGTTGCTCAGGCTGGAGAAGAGAAGGCTCTGGGGAGCCTTTAGAGCCCCTTCCAGGGCCTAAAGGGGCTCCAAGAGAGCTGGAGAGGGRCTTTGGGCAAGGGATGGAGKGACAGGACAAGGGGAGATGGCCTCAAGATGAAGGAGGGTAGATTTAGATTAGGAAAAAAATCCCTCTGAGATGTTCTGTGACCTGTGAGGACATTGCTGGTGGTGCTGTGCAGCTTCAGGCAAGTGCCAGGCAAGGATCCTCGTGAAACCAAAGCAGAGAGTTTATTCAGCWGCAATGCAGAGCCTGGCAGGGCTAAGGCACTGACAAAACCTTCCCCAGCAGGAGGAAACATTCCCCAAGAACACAGCAAGGTGTCCTCAACGTGTGACAAAGCAGCTGAGAGGTGGCCAGGGACGATTGGGGAGCGACTCCAGGGGTTGGGAGAAGGGGCAGAAAGGAGTCCTGGAGGATGCTTGGATTTGCCTCTGTGCTCTCTCAGCTATAAAATTCAATGATAACATCTCTGACACAGAGCAATGATTGTCCTGGTGCAGGGAGAGCTTTCTATAAATGCTGGATTCTGACAAAATTCAGGCATTGCAGAGTCAACTGGGAAAATAATTATAAGGGTGGGGAGAAGGATAAGTTGTCCAAATGGGGTTTTTTTAATATCTGGCCAAATTTAGTTTGAATTCGTACCCTGAGAGGTTCAGATGTCCCTTGTGGAGCCTGAATTATCCTTGTGTTACCCACAGATGAGGTTCCCTCAGGTCAGGGTCAAAGTATCCAGAGCCTGGCCTGGCCTCTGAGATAAACACAGATCTTTGTTTTCTGCAATCCTGCACTTATGAGTCTGGATCCCTGACTGTGAAATGCAGCTCTGTCCTGATTCTTCTTATTTGYTAAAAGAAACTCTAGCTCCATCTAAAGCAGATTTTGGGGTGGAAAGTTGCCAAGCTCTGTACACTCAGTTTCCAGCATCCTTAAATGCACTTGAATTTTTTGGGGCTGTTTTTGACGTGGTGGCCATATGAGGGCTGGAGCTCCTTGTGCAATTCCTCAGGTACAAACCCCACTGGAGGGGGTTTTTATTTATTGCTTTTATTCCTTCAGCTTGGTTTATTGGAACAGCTCTGCCCAGCTCGGAGCAGCAGCTCACCATGAGGTCAGAGCTGGTTTTTCTGCAGCAATACAGTGCACAAAAATGTGTACAAAAAACCCAGGTGAGGCAGGCAGGAGATGAGAATTCAGCCCTGGCTCATGGGGTAACAAACTGGGGTGCTGGCCATGGGATGGCAGGCATTGGGTGCCTCTTGCTCCCCATTTTCCCACCCTGAACCCCCATTTCAGCTCCTCCAGCTCCTCACGTGTGGTGTGAGCACATGGGCCAAGCGTGTGGGACATCACTGGTGGGGTTTTTGTTTGTATTGCAAAACCTCCCCTGCCCTTCCAAACATGTAAACAGACTCATTCTGCAGAAAACTTGTGACTCCTTTGTTTTTCAAGTGTACGTGTTGCCTTTCTGTGCATGTGCTGTTGTTCTGGCTCCCGACTCACAGCAAAGGGACTTGCAGGGTTTTTAAGGGCTTGTGGGGAAGATTTCCTAAACCTTGGTATTTCCTGTTGTGAGAAGTCCAGTCTGTGCTAAACTGAAGAGGGAGAAAGAGAATCGCTGGAGGAAAATACTTAGATGGATTCGCTTCCAATTTTTTTTTTTTTTTTTAACAAAAATAGTCCTGATGGAAAACTTCATGCAGAGATATTGAGTTCTTGGGTTGCAGCAAARAGCCTGAGCAGCTCTGCCCAGGGCCAGAGAGAGGGGTCAGCTATGAAGAGAAGACCCTGGCCTTCCCTGACCAATTGTTCACCCTTCCCTTAGATCAGGACACGTTTTGCAGCCCAATTTATGTGTGTTTTGATAAACTGAAACACTTTTGGTTGCCATAAAAACCGTAGTTTTCCTTGGATTCTCCCCCCACCCAAGGGTTTTTTTTTTTTCAGTTTTCCTGATGGGGAGTTTCAACTTCAAAGTATTTTTGGTTTCCCACTTTTGGAAAGCTCCTAAGTTCTGGAATATAGCCAAATCCCTGTAAAAAATTAAAGAAAGAAGAAGAAAAAAGAGAAAGGGACCATTTTTCTTTTCTCTCCACATTTTTTTTCAGGAAATACTTCACGTTTTTGATGAACTGTGCTTTTCTACTTTGCCAGTTCACATCCTGAACTGCAGAAATTAAAGGGAAAGGCACTACCACAGGCTCCACATACACTCTGACCCTACAGAGTGCAACAGAGAATTTAAAATATCTTGAATCTCACTAGAGCTTTATCAGACTCAAATAAACTTTAGGAAATTTCCTTAATCTGGTAATTTGCCCATATCTGAATGCCATCATGAGGTGCTGAGCACATTCAGCTCTGTGGCTGCTGAAGTGCCTGTGCAAGAGAAGAACACAGAATTAAAATCTCATTTTTCACACAAGGCCTGATTTTCTCTGGCCCAGCCCTGCAGGGTCCAGATTCCACCCCAACCCCTGAGTTGGATTCACTGTGCATCTGCTGCCTGCTTCAATGATTTTGCAACTTGGAAACCATTAAAATTCATGAATTTAAAGATTATGAAAGTCAGTCTCCTTTAAAAAAAAAACCTACAAAAATACAAAAATGTCATTCTTGCTGGAGCTGGACTGTACCTTTCAAYTTTTGGTGGTGTTTATATCATGAAACATTGATATAAATCTCTGGAAAACAACAAGGGAGGGACCAGAACCTTGCCTTTCCTGCAGGCTCAAAGGRCAGCACAGCCTGGGACTGTTTATTCCTTTCCATCCTTGGGGTCATTTTTCCTAACAGAGCCACCCCTTTGCTGCTGTTTCACAGGAGGAAGATGATGATGGTCTGCCAAAGAAGAAATGGCCAACAGTGGATGC